AAAAAAAAAAACCTACAGATAAAAACTGATAGGATCATCTTAATGAAATCCTGTCCTGGCTGCTATCTATTTTTAGGGGGAAGAAAACCCCTCCAACTTACTTGGAACAGGACTTTTGTCAGCATTTCCTAAAAACAAATAAACCAAGAACACAGTAGGAAATAAATAAACTTAAAACAGCTATCTCTTACTTCTGCGGCACACACAGTGATTCCTTTGCAGAATTTTATTAAATTTCAAAAAAGTTATTTTGCATACAATCATATTTCCTGAATTAAGAGGTGCTTAAAAAAAGAATCTAATCGGGGCACCTGGGTGGCTCGGTCGGTTAAGCGTCCGACTTCAGCTCAGGTCATGATCTCGCGGTTCATGGGTTCGAGCCCCGCATCGGGCTCTGTGCTGACAGTTCAGAGCCTGCTTCGGATTCTGTGTCTCCCTCTCTTTCTGCCCCTCCCCCACTTATGCTCGCGCTGGTTTACAAGCGTGCACGCTCTCGCTCTCTCTCAAAAATAAACATTAAAATTTTTTTTAAATTTTTTTTAATGTTTATTTATTTCTGAGACAGAGAGAGACAGAGCATGAATGGGAGAGAGTCAGGGAAAGGGAGACACAGAATTGGAAGCAGGCTCCAGGCTCTGAAACTGTCAGCACAGAGCCCGACACGGGGCTCGAACTCACGGACTGTGAAATCCTGACCTGAGCCGAAGTCAGATGCTTAACCGACTGAGCCCCCCAGGCGCCCCCCCAAAATTTTTTTTAAATAATCTCAATCAATCAAAAAGGCAGATTATATATTGGCAAGAATTCGGAGAAACTAGAACCCACATACACTGTTGGTCAAAAGGCATAATGGCACAATTGCTCTGGAAAACAGACTGGCAGTTCCTCTAAAGGGTAAACATAATGCTTCCGTATGACCCAAGAATCCCACTCTGAGGCATATTACCAAGCGAAATGAAAATATACGTGCACACATCAAAACCTGTATACGAGTGTCCACAGCGGCCTTATTCACGACAGCCCCAAAGTGGAAATAACCCTCATAGCCCATCAACTGATGAATAGATTTTTCGATGTGTGCCCCATCCATTCAATGGAAGATCGTTCAGTGATGCAAAGGATCACATTACAACGTGGATGAGGCCCGAAAACATCGTGGCAAGGGGAAGAAGCCACAAGGAACCACACGTTGCCTGATTCCATTTCCGTGAAATGTCCCGAAGATAAATCCATGGACGTCGAAAGCAGGCGGCTGGCTGCCTAAGGTTGGGTGAAGGTAGCGACTGGGATTGGGGAGGGATAGTAATACATGTGGGGGTTTGGGGGTTTGTTTTATTTTTGTGGGTGGTGAAAACCTTCTGGAATCAGCAGTGACGGTTGTGCAAGTATTCGTATATGCTAGTATTAATATATACTAACGTACTTGTACGAGTAATTAGTGAATATGCTAAAAACCACTGAATTGTGTACTTCAGAAGGTGGATTTTAGGAAATGGGAATTACATTGCAAATCAAAGAGGAGAGGAAGAAAGGCCAACCAGAAATCCAGGCGGAATCACTTCTGACTTCATTCCCTCCCTGGATCCAACTACCCCACGGCCATCTACACCCCCGGCCTCCCTCACCCCATGCATACGTCAAGAAAGCCTTTCTGGTTTACAACTGCTTTTCATTGAGTAGCTTTCACAGAGAGGTATCAGTTGCCATCTTTGTAAATGCATGAATGTCATGACTTTAGGGAGACATCCAGAAGGCAATTCACTCAACAAGAAACTTACGCAGATGACCACAACCGGTTTTTATATGCTTTCCCCAGAACATCAAAACCATAGTTATTTCAGTGCTTTGACTGTTTGATGTAGGACAGGATTTAGGTCATGAGTATGAACAGAAGGCAGGAATGGGTTGGTTTTACTTGCTGTTGAATCTCCAGCACCTGGAACAGGGCTGGACATCCTCAGGGAGGATGAAGAATTAAGTAATTCACTCTCAATCGAAAACCCTACCCGAGTGCTCTGCTCAATGCCCAGCAAATGCACGCGCCATCTGCTAGAACAGTGCTGTTCACAGAGATGATGGACCAC